TAGGTTGGACCTCTCTTTGATGTGTTTCCACCCATTGTTTCGGCACTCAGGTACTTTGGAGAATAGGTTGGTCCCATCCTATCTGTGGCATCCCTTCAAATACTGGAAGACTGCTATCAAGTCAGCCTTAGTCCTACTTTTCATTAGACTAAACATACCCAATTCTTGCAACCATTCATTGTATGTTTTATATATGTTTGGGATATGCTCTACAATTCTCCATCTTTGTAGAAATCTAGAACTTCAGCCTGTTGTTATGAATTATTTCTTATTCCCTCTCTACAACTACAATAATTTTTCATATTCGGGACTAATTATTTTAATTTGTTGCATTGATAGTTGTTTTCCTGCTGAGGTTAAAAAAAGCTAATCATACTGTAGACCTTTTGATTTAATATAATTTGATATTATTACTTTGTAGGACTTTCAAATGAATCATACAATCTTTGCTAATGAAATCCAAGCCAAGAACGCATTCATTATATTTCATTAAAGCGATGTAAGATGTAATTAAACCTGGTTTAATAACAAGCCACAAATGCTTTCTAGCAACACTCTTTTCAGCTACGCAGCTGTTGAATTCTGCACATCCTAGCACTCACACACTACTTACACTGGGGAGGGAGAGGGCTTGCAATAGCTGGTAATATGCAGGGTGAAGAATTTGTTGGGTCTTCAGCCACAGGGGTAGTACCTGATCCCTTTTTCACCAGGCCTAATACATCAGAGAGCTTGGAGGCTGAGACAGGACAAATGAGAAAGGCAGGGAGGGAGGGAGAGAGGGGAGGAAAAAGAGAAGATAAAGGAAGGACAACGAAAAGTAACAGTGAGGTAGAAAAAAAAATCTGAAAAGATGACTCAAAGATGCAAAGAATCCTTTAACCAATTCACCAAGTGTGTTTTATCTACTTAGTCATGGCTTTCTAAATCAAATTTCTTCTAGCGTCACTGAAGCAAATGACTTAAAGTTACATGGATATGAATAAGGGCTAAGATGAAAGAACTTTGTCTAAGTTCAGCTACTACCATACTTATCCCCGCATTGCGGATGTCTTGTTCTTTTTTTTTTTTTTTTGTAATCATTCTTCTATATGGCTGAGCCTATAAAAGGCCTAGGGATTTGGATTACTACCAAGTTTGCAAGCAAGATTAGGGGGCCCAGCTTCTACTTTTTTTGGTTAAAATAATTTACAGGCCACGTGAAGCTGAATTCAAGAAACCGTGATTTGCTGGAGCCATGATTTGAGGACCAGCCAGAACTGAAGATTAATTGGCAAAATCATTACTCAATTTAGCCCCAGCTCAAATATGAAGGTCCATCCAGAGTGGATGTTGTCAAACTCTGGCACTTCAAAGAGGAAGAATTAAAGGTTCAAATAGGTCCATTCAGACAACAGGAAACCAGCCTTGTTGCCATAGCTGAACGATACCCATGGCTTAAGGCTTATAATTAGGACTCTTCAATGGAAGGTGGAACTGGGGACCATCTTATAGTAAGCTGCCAAGAGTTGCTTAAGTCGGGCAGCCCGATAATAGATAAATAACAGATAAGCCAACATTGGGGCCTTGCAACTTACAAGCAGCCGTGATTGCAGCAGCAGCAGATGAGATGACAGATGTCTGCAGGCTGGAAGGAAGTTCAGGGGCAGATCCTGAATTCACGTGACTTTTTACAAGCTCATTATCAGTGCTTTTAACTAGGGAGAATGTGAAAGAGTAGAAAAAGAAACAGAAACACCATAAAGACAGAAAGGAAAAAAAAAATCCAAAGAACAGCGACACCTTTGGCGGAAGGAAAAACAAAACAAAACAGGAGACATAGAATGGGAAAGTAAAATGTATTTTAATAGGAAAAAAAAAAGAATGGGGAAGATTCACAGACACATAGAGGCAACATACTTCCAAGTATGACAAGCAGGAAGGTTTGATTAAATTCACGTCCTATCTGGGTAGGGATTTTTTAACAAGGTATCTGTACTGGTTGAAAATTCAAGTCTTCCCAGAGGGCTTCACCCCTTAAGTCCTAATAGACAACTTCCCTCCCCCCTGGAAACAGGCAATTGATCACAAGCTGGCCTTCAATGGACTTTCCCCGTTGTTTTTAATAGCCCAAGGCTACAATCAAGCCAGACAAGTGGCTACCAGAAGAATAAGAAACGTGGCGTCCCAGCTAGAACTTAACAGGATATCTCTCCACAGAAGAAATCAGATTAAATGGGCTGTGTGAGAACCAGCGAGGTATCCAGAAGACCTGATTTCTCCTAAGAGTAGAATAGCATTTTTTTTACAGCCAGACAGCACTCCTGCAGGGCACGAATGATAAAACCACAATAGCTGAGCGAGTGTGTGCATGTGGCAATGGGGAAATTGAAAATATTTCACATGTCCTACTGCGCTGCAAATTCTACAGGGACCTCAGACCAACGTATGTTCTCCCTCTAGTAGAGAGATTTCTAGGGAGATCAGATAACTTCTACTTGAACCATCTCCTCCAGGATTCAAATCCAACCACCACTCGTGCAGGATGTATAATGATAATAAAGGGGGGGGGGAATCTAAAGAACTAAAGATCCTTATTCATATTAATACTTTGCTTAGTTATTTCCCAATAATTTCTAGATAACGTATTTATCTTAATGTTTAACTTTTGTGCTGGTCTGTGACCATAATAAAGATTGATTCCGATTCTTTAAAAGGCATCTGAGCAGCAGCATAGGATGTGGTTAGACTCAGCTCAGCTCTTCTTAAGTCCTAAGCCCATTTCTCTTGATCACAATAATCTAGAAGAGTGGTTCTCAACCTGTGGGTCGGGACCCCTTTGGGGGGTCGAACGACCCTTTCACAGAGGTCGCCTAAGACCACCGGAAAACACATATTTTTGATGGTCTTAGGAACCGAGACACCAATTTCA